CCTCTGGAGCCATATCCTGTCACAGCAAACTGGGGTTCCCACATAATCTCCAGATACACCCTGCTTACCCCCATGATGGAAAAGCTGGCTACACTTCTTGGCATTTTTCCTCACTCAGTCAAATGCTGCGTTTAAAAAAGTTTTTAAGGGGGGCTAGCTAAGCCTCCTTTTAAAAATATTTATATTTTTGTTGACCTACTTAACTTATATAGTATTTTATTGTATATATAAATATACTTACATTTTTAAATTTTATTTTAGTTGCTTTCCAGCTAGAGAGATTTACAAACACGGAAAATATTTCCTGGCCTCTTGATAGTTCATAAAACAGAAAGGTGACAGTTACTTAATCTTTCTAGCTTGGCAGAGTCTTGTTCTTTTTGAGGAAAGACAATAGCTGACCACGTGGCCTCGAATGGAAGTTTTCACTTCTCAGTAACACCATGCCCTCCTTAGAGAGACAGCAAAAATAACACTACCTGTCCTCGAACCTGCAGGGTAGTTGTGATTCAGGAAGTCAGTATGAAAGCTCTGTAAAGTTGAGATGTTCTTGTAATGATAATAGTGCCTTCCTTTTTGGTAGAAGAATTGTTGCAGTGTGGTTTAATCCATTCATTCACTCTCTTAAAAAGAGGCTACCCGACTGGCTAACATTTCCTGAGTGCTTACCCTGTGCCTGCTCCTGGGCTAAGCAGTCCATGGGCCATACTGCTGTGTGATTCTCAGAATAAATCCCTGAGGGCAGGGACTATTATGATCGCCCCTTTACAGGTAAAGAAACTGGGACTCAGAGAGGTTAAGTATTATGCTTACGGTTATACAGCTCGTGAGTGGCAGGTGATGGATTTGAGCCCCATAGCTCAAGCTTAACTACTATACTTAGCTTAGTATTCCACTTCAGTAAAAATACCTTATTTTCTTTACTTTCCTTCCAGAACATCAAACAGAATGACAATGCAAATCTTTGGTTTACAGAGTGGTAGGTTTTAGGGTGTGAGTAGTCAGAATCTGCATTCCCAAACCAGATTCCCCTAGCACCTGTCCTGCATTTGTGGGGCCCACCTCTTCCTGCTCAGGATCTATCAGTCATCTCAGCCAGGGGTGAGGGGTGCCCTAAAGCCCTTCTCAGAAGCAAATTGCCTGTAAGCCCACTGTTATTACTTGTCCTGGTGACACCAGGCCACTGAGCTGGAGTTCGTTATGAAGACACTGAATTTAAATATGCCATGGATAACCCACACTGAGAGATTGCAGCTGTGTCTGGCAAATGATGCTCCCAGAAGACTGTTAATTTTAAAATATTTTATTTCTCTTCCACAATGACAAAATGGGCATGTGTTCATAGGCTGAATATAAAGAATTCTTTTCATTTGGAAGGTTGTATAACAGGCAGGACAGTTGGGCCAGAAAATAACTTATTTTCATGTATACTTCTGTTAAAATTTCCAGTACATTTTTTTCTTTCTGATTGATGTGTAGTTGGCAGTGACTTCTGGCATTTGGGTTAAAAATGTCTGATTTCCTTCTCCCTTAGGCAATAAGTGATCTACAAGTAAACACAGAAATCCATTAGAGAAGTTGTATTTACTAGGAAATGAAGATTCCTAACTTACCGGCTTTGTAGGCTGTTCACTTATTGATTCTCTTCAAGGGAAGTACAGAGTTATTATTGTGTTACAGGGGGAAACCTTAAGAGTTATTCTGGCAAGTGACTATTTTGATGTCTGCAAAGCCCAGAAGAAACCCAGGTTATAGGAGAAAGAAGGGAAAGATTATGACAAGTAGGAGTCAGGGAAGATGAAGTGAAGATGGATTAGAATTGGGAGTGTATCACTGAGCTGGGGTAGGAGGTATGGAAAATGTCAACATATATAAAATTGGATAGAAAAAGTATGATAAATTCCCATGTGAGCATCTCATAGCATTGACAATTATTACTTGATGGCCAATTTTGTTCCATTTAGTACTCGTTCTTCCCTACCTAGTATTATTTGAAAGCAAACCCCTGTATCATTTTATCCATATTTTAGTAGGTATTTCTAGAAGGCAGGGGCTCTTTTAAAACATAACCTCAATACGTAATCACATCTAAAAAATAATAACACTC